ACGTCAAAGCTGATACACTCCCCTCGTAAGGTTACCGGACGTGATTCCATACACTCACAATGTCGACCGATTTCTCGACTGTTCAAGCGAATGATCGATAAGTCGTTTTTCATCAAAAAATATCTGGAGAAAAATAGAAATATAGTCACTATATGAATTCAATGTTCATGGAAACTTATCTTGGAAGGCTCCATATTCCGTTAATATGTCTGACAGATGTTGAGCTCCTAAGTGATGTGTTACATACGAATATACAGTTCTTGTGAGTACTGGTTGCTTCTGGAATATCCTGTACCTCAGTTCAGTATTATGCTTCTCTAGTTGCGCAATATATTATTCATTATAGTTCACATTTTTTCAGAAAACATAGGTCTACTTCATAGAGCACAGCTCCAGTGAAATAAGGACTGTTGCTTTCCTAAGTGTACAAATAATTTGTAAAAAACTGGTATAGAACTACTGCTTATACCTAACTCTTGAAGGCGACACCCTCCTTTGTAGAGAGGCATTGCGAACGCCAAAATTGATACACTCCCCTTGTAAGGGTACCGAACGTGATTCCATACACTCACAATGTCGACTAAGTTTTCGACAGTTTGATTGAATGATCGATAAAAGTAGTTTTTTTTAAAGAAATGTTCGAAGAAGAATAAAAATACGATCTGTATATGATAATGTTCATGAAAACTTATCTTGGCCATCTCTATATTCCATTAATCTGTCTGACAGATGTTGAGCTCCAAATTGAATTGTCCTGAATGATTATAGAGTTCTTGTGAGTACAGTATCTCAAATGATGAGATATCTGCTATAGTTTATATTGCTTCTGGAATATCGTGAAGAAACTTGGATTAGTATCATGCTCCTCTGATTGCGCAATATATTATTCATTATCATTTACATCTATGAAAAAAAAAACATGGTTCTATCCTTCAAAGAGCATAGCCTAATTGAAACAACGAGTGTTGATTTCCTCAAGTGCACTAATAATTTGGAAAAGAACTGGTAAAGAACCACTGTTTTTACTCAACTTTTAAAGGCAACACCCTCCTTTGTAGAGAGGCATTACGAACGTCAAAGTTGATACACACCCCTCGTAAGGGTACCTGACGTGATTCCAAACACTCACAATGTCGGGTAATTTTTCGACTGTTCAATTGAATGATCGATAATAGTCGTTTTTAAAGATGAAATGTTCGCGTGTTAGACGTAAATTATACGACGTCCGCCCACTGGAAGATGAAAAATCTGTTTTTCTACTACTGCTATGAAAATTAGTGCATTTCTCATAGCTAACTTGGTTTAATAACCATGTATTGCTCATATTGTGAGAAATATTTTTTTCTCACGGCACTGCCAACACCACATACATTTCCATGGAGAATCATAAAAAATCGACCAAAACTTGGCTGCTGTTCAGTTTCGAATAGTTGTCACAACTGTGAGAAGAAGTTTTTTAAATCCATTGGGTAATCAGTGCTTTTGATAGCAATCGCATTTTCCATCAAATATTATTCAAAAAATTCATAATGAATAATATGATGTATAATAAACTTTTCTCGAACTATTTGATGAATCGAAAGCAAAGAGTTAAAATTGGAAATATACTTAGTGAAGAGAAGGGGATTAATTATGGAGTTCCCCAAGGTACAGTTCTGGGACCTATTCTTTTTATTATTTACCTAAATAGTATACTCAATTATCCAAGTAACGGCAAAATTGTAAGCTTCGCCGACGATACGGCTATTGTATATTGTGCTGATAATTGGAAAGACTTGAAACACAAATCAGAAAATGATTTGATGAATATTTTTAATTTATTCAGTCACAAGATATTGACCGTAAACACAGAGAAGACATATTTCATTCCATTCTCGAACACCGTTAGTACATTACCTGAATTTGAAACATTAAAAGTTAATGACCAAATAATACATGCTAAGAAACATATAAAGTACTTAGGGATTTATATAGATTGCCATCTCAGATTTGACGTGCACATTGAAAGTCTTGTGAAAACATTGAGAACATTACTGTATAAATTCAGATATCTTAAAAATATAATTGATATGTGTTACCTCAAAATAATTTACTATGCTCTCGTTGAATCCCGCATAAGATATGCCATCCTCAATTGGGGAGGAGCTGCCACGTGTTACCTGAAAAAACTTGATATCTTGCATAAAAGATTTTTAAAAATAATATTGAATAAAGAACTTACTTATCCAACAAATCTCCTCTTCTATGAGGCTGGCATTCTTGATGTCAGGCAGCTATTTATGCACCAAATAATATTGTACATATTTAAAAATCGAAATACACTTGAATTTGTGAATCATGGGTACGAAACACGATATAGAGAAAGCAAGAATGTTCAGTCTCTGTTTTTTATCAAAAATGTTTGCCTCAGAAGTTATAAACATTTGATGTTTAAAATTTTCAATAGTCTCCCTGACCAATATAAAATGTACATTTTAACAATAAACTCAACTCCATTGATAAAAAAAAGATTCAAATATTATATCGTGAATTTAGGAAGAGAAAAAGTTCATTCACTTGTTGTAATCTAATTGTCTGTTTTATACTTTATATTGCTCACCCTGTTCCATGTGTTTTTTACTTTTAATCATACAAGATTATCTGTTTTGATTTATTCAAGAAACATTGTATATGTTATCACCAAAATTACTCAATTAAGAAGACAATAATAATAATGAAAAAAACATATGACATAACTTGTTCACGCACAGCCTCCTTTTGGCTTCAGTGGACAATATACTCTGTGGTCTAACTGTTTATTCGGACTTTTCCACATAAAACCCTATAAATTTTGTATTTTTTCGAGTGAATATTTATCATGAGACAATTCTGTTAAATGTACTAGTTATAAGATCCTGAATAAACGATATTATTATTATTATTATTATTATTATTATTATAAACCGAGATGTGACGATTTTGATAAATACACCGCCAGAGACAGAGATAATGAAAGAAGCTGCGATAGTTGGATTTGTTTCCGGAAATTTCAAGAAAAAAGTATGAATTGGCATAAACAAAAAATTTATGGAATCTAAAAAAATAAAGAATTTTTTTTTTCTGTGACGGGAAAAAAGTTTGGCATTTCATCTCTGTTGGCAGGTTATAAAATGTCACTTTTCATAAATTACTTTTTTCCCGTGGAAAAAAAGTGAGAACTTTTTTCCCGGATATATATCACATATATATACTCTGTTAATGGCTTTTGTTGTGCTATAGTTCCGAAAAATGAGTCAATAATACCGTCTCCGAGAAAGAACTGCAAGTCCTTTTATCTTCCATTCGACTTCGCGGTTTCGTATATTACTAAACAACTCAGATATTTGATTACTTCAAAAGAATGATAAAGATGCCTATAAAACGCAGGTGTCCCTACTGTTAAAAACTTGAGATTTCACGTCGATAATTTTCAGATTTCGAAATAATGTAATATCTTCTCAATATTGATTCGTCCTTCCTTCTGTCACAGAAAAAAATAGTGTATTATACACGGGAAAAATATTAGATTTTAGCTCACGGTTTTTTGTCTCCCTCTGCTACGCGTCGGGAGACAACACAACCTGGAGCTAAAATCTACCACTTTTTTCCCTTGTATAATAAATAACTATTTTTTTTTGGGAAAGTGTACTTTTTCGAAATACTCTGAGGAACTAGGAAAGGCGTCTACTCTTTGGTCACAATATTCAATATGACATAGTGCCACATTATAAAATGAATACCAATATGCTACATTACTCGGATTCTTTGAAGAAGTGCATTTGTAGAAAAAGCATAGTATGCAACATGTATGGAAAAGCACTTTTCTCACTCGTGTGTTTGCATCACTCGCCCTTCAGGCTCGTGCCACAAACTTCCACACTCCTGGGAAAAGTTGAACCCCTCCCACTTGTTGCACAATATCATAGTGGAAGGACAAGATGGTGTGCCTACGCGCATATTATGTGACGTCATCTGGGATACCAATATCAGCTGCTAGTCACAGACAGATACCGTTGCCATGGGCGTGCGCAATGAATTCAATTATGTTTATTGAAATTTCTATAAGTTTCTCGATCTCTTTAGAGATAGTTCAATTTATATAAACAGGTACCTATTCCTTCGATTTTACTATTGATTCTGGAAATTGTGATCTAGAGGTAATTCGCTATCGCAAGTAGCAAATACATACGAGTTATCATGCATTGCCAATCCCATCTGAATGATCCACTACTGTGTCGATTCTGACAGATTAGGATTCAGCAGTTAACGACGTTGACGTTGCTTCTGCTCCGACATCGACAACAGGAGTATCAATTTTTGCCGTTTTGTTATTCAAATCTTTGCTGCAATTTATATTTTGTGAGAAATTGAGAGTTTTGAATTCATTTTCAATTATTTCTGACTTGACATCCGGAAGATGTTCTGTAGGAATGGCATCTTGTTTAAAATATTTGTGATTTTTTAGAGGTGTGTAATTCAAGAACCGTACTTTCGCACTTGTTTGGGGAAATTTTGCATAGAAGTGTTTTGAAGAATACGTGTTGTAATATGAATGTGATGATAATAGGATAGGTGAATACTTTGGAATGAGGATATAAGGAATATATGGTAGGTACCATTATTTGAGTTTATATTCTGTCGGCAGCAAGCTCCCATCGTTTCATCAGGTCTCCATTCTTGGAAAAGTAGAAAAATTCAATAACTGTGCCTTTTATATGTTAGTGGGAATTTCGATCCATAACCAGAAACGAAACTAGTAGGCATCTCGAAAATATTTCATTCAATTTTAGTACTCATATAATATCTGAAGTTCCAGACATCAATCACGAAAACAAATAATAACAATGACAGTTATATCCCAGCTGACGTCATGCGCAGAACAAGACGAGTTTGAGCTTTCTGTTGAGCACACCATCTTCTCCTTCCACTATGCACAATATACTATTTTTTTTTCATGATTTCTTCAAATTGCAATTTCGTAGAACTCGCCGAACATCTTGACACCTTCACTCATCGCGCCTCCGGTCCCAGAGCGCAGCGGCTAGCCGACGAGCCGGACTTTGATGATCGATTCGAGAGGCCTTTCAGAGAACCGTTCAGCGGCGGCTTCCCTTTCGCCGACAGAGATCGGATCGATCCCGAGGAGTTTACGCAGAGGTTTCGCAGGCCACGGCGAGATTCTAACGAGTCGCAAGGTATATACAGGGTGTCCGCTAAAAGGAGGTCAATCCATTAGCCATATATTTCTTGAACAAAAACAATATCAGTTTCTAAATACTATTTTTCATTATAGCCCTTCATATTCGATATACAGAGTGTCAGCGATATACAGGGTGTCAGAGTTAGAAATTAAAAACTGTTTTTTTTCAATTACTCGCGTATTTATTAAGATATTTTTCTCAAAATTGGTACATTACTTCAGCACAAAGAGTTTCATCATGTGAGGAAAACAGAACAGAAAATAATTGTCAAATATTCAAAATACTGGGGGTCAAGTATACACTTACCCCCATTTTTTTTTGTACGTGCGCTAATGACTTCCTATCTATTTTCCTTCGAGTGTTCAATCATTTTTGAGTATTTTTTGTCTCTCTTAAAATTTCGATAAAATTATTTGATTTCAAGATAATTCGAAAGTACTGGTATTTGTTTGATGCCTATGCGGTTTACGGTAATCTCATAATGTTCACGTTCACATACTCCTATTTATTTCGTCGAAATTGAAAGAGGGCGTAGCTTTTTACGTACGAAAAGGTAAATATGGAAATACCGGGTGCTCAGAGCGAATGTATCAAAATAATTTTCACAAAAAAAAAACAAAAATTCAACACCTCTAAATGAATTGCTGGATAAGATTATCTTTAATTGAAAGGGCTCGCATATGTATTCATAAAATTGGAGGTCATATTGAGCAACGAAGTACCAAAGTGTACACAAACTACACAAACACAGAAAAAATAATGGAAAGATAATGTAGGACCACTTTAACACTTTGAAAACTCGAGATGGAATGAAATAATGCTTTTAAACAATGTAAACAAACTGGTAATGGTCCATAAAGTAGTTCCAATTTCTACCGTTCTGGCGCAACGATCTTAATGTCAGTCGCCTTTAGAAAAAGAGAGGGGTAGTGAGAGGTAGAGGGGAAGAAAAAAAGAGTGACAACTAAGCTAGAGAAAGAGAGAATATTTGAAATTGGAAATTACGTTCGCCAATAATAGTCCAATCAAATGGTATTTTCACTTGGAAAAAATTCAAGAAGTCGTTTTCTCTGTGGTTTCATATGTTTTTGGAGGTGCTGAATTTGAATCTGAATTTTGCAAGTGCGGAGATAGAGCTAGTTCAAAATTGACCAAATTTGCCTACTTTTCAAAAAATAGCGTTTTTCGTCGGTTTTCGCAGACAATTCCAAATCTACGCATTCCTCGAATAAACGAACTACACTGCCTGATGTGGAAGAGTCCTAGCCATGTGAATTCTTACCTCTGTCAGCATGTAGCTCATGACTCTCGACTTGTCACTGTACTTGAGTATATTCACATCAACTAGGAAGGATATTGTTTTTCTCACCTGCCTCTTGTTATTCGTTAACGGAGTAGAAAAATCAAGTTCCCTAGCAACGAATATCAGAAATGTCAGACATTTGAAGTAGATTGTAGATGGGTCGTATAGGCTGAGAGACCTCTCGATCACTGCGACCTAGAAGATCTATTGTGATTACCCCTATCTAGTTTTGGTCCTCTAACCCTACACTTCTGATGAAGCCTACAATTTTCCTGACGGTTGAATTTTTCCACCTCAGCAGGGGTGAGATAGACCTGTTCTAGGTGGTTCAACCTTTGGCAAACTAATACTTCACATGAGCAAAGTATGTGTTTCGCGGTTTCGGTCGCATTGTTACAAAAGCGGCAAGTGTCAGTCTCCGCCAGGCCCATCTTTTTGAGGTGGTACCTCAGAGGGCCGTATCCTGTGAGAAAGCCTGTGATAAGCTTTAGCTCTGGTTTGCTGAGGCTGAGTAGCTCTTTGGCTCGGTTCTGCAAATCGTTGATGAACCTTTTCGCTTGTCGTTGACCTGGAGTTGCTCTTCAATAGGCGGACTGTTCAATTTCTTCCCATTTCCTGAGTTCCTCCTTTAGGTGACATTTGCTTATCCCACAAAAAGGATCAGGACCAAAAAGTGTAGATGCTGCACCTTTTTTTGCAAGGCGATCAGCTGCCTCATTTCCTTTGATTCCTTCATGCCCTGGAACCCACATAAGTGTGACTTTGTTGCCCTTTCCCAGTTGCATGAGTGTTTCAAAGCAGTCCCATGTAATTTTTGATGTGAAAACGAATGATTTTAGGGCTTTTAGTGCGGCTTGGCTGTCTGAGCAGATATATATGTTGGCACCCCTCAGACCTTTGCTCAGGCACCTTTGAGCGCAAAGGTTGATGGCATGTATTTCAGCTTGGAAGATAGTGGGGACATTTGAAGTAAATATAGATAGGAGAGTTTCCTTCACTGTGAATGATACTAGCAATATCCTGCAGTCTGATCTAGAGAACGACCAGGATCTTGATGTCGATGAATAATAATCCATCACAAACTCACCTAGAGGTATCAGCTCCATCTACTATTAACATCTACTACAATCAAACTTTCATATGGTTATACTCGAACCCACCAACCGAAGATGAAGTGACGATTAGATTTCAGATTATAGGATCACCCTCAACTGATTAATTGCTTTCTATTTCTAATGAAGCATAATATTTTCTTGACGGTTATTTTCCGCATCAACAGGTGTTATCTAGACCCGTTCTAGGGTAGTCAGCCTATGGCGGACTGGTACATTACATGAACAAAAGTGCTCTGCGGTTTAGTGTCAGTCGCCTCTAGATCTATTTATTTTTAGTAATAGCTCAGAGGGTAGTGCTTTAGCTCTTGTTTGCTGAAACTCGCTAGCTTACGAATTGTTGAAGACCTCTTTCCTTCTCGTTTACCTGAAGTTGCTCAACAGTAGTTGAATTTCTCACTTCATTCTCATTTTCTGAGCTCTGTGATGAGGTGGCATTTGCTTGTCTCACAGAAAGGTGAAATGTGAGCTCTGCACTTTTTTGCTAGGCGATCAGCTGCCTCATTCCCTTGACGCCTTGGAACCCACATGAGCGAGAATTGATTCTATACTTATTCATCACAAAATAGGTAATTTGGATAGTTTGAATAGTTTCAGTTTTTTATCAAAATGTTCAAAGAATACCCTATAGTATCTGGAATTATTGTATCGCATAACAAGTATGATTCCAGCTTACAGAATTTTAATTTTTTTTAGTTCCCCACCCCACAGAATACAAAAACAAAACAATGCCCTATTTACACGTTTCAGAGCTTTAATGAATATAGGTTCATATGATCCAAATCATATAGGTTGAAAGGATGAACATGAGTGTGGTAACTACGACCAAAAGACGTCTCCAAGTCCGAGCGCTCTAACAGCCGTTCATCTTTTTTCATAATGACGAAATTTACATGAGCTCTATAGGAAATTTGATGCTCTATCAATATGTGCATGATGCTCTGCTCCTGAGTAATACGTAAAATATGAATTATCTGCGAAAACCGACGAGAAACGCCATTTTTTGAAAAGTGGTCAATTTTCAACTGACTCTATCTCCGCGTCCTTTAGTCCTACATTCATGAGCAAGAACAATTTTATCAAGGAAATTTTATCCACTCCAACTTTTTATAGGGCGGTCTTTTCGATATAATGTATGATTTCCGAGTTACGGGCAAAAACCGAAGAAAGTGCAAAAATTTCGGTGATTGCTAATATCTCGGAACGCTCCAGGAAATTTTGTTTCCTAAATTCCGATTGGAATTCAGCACCTCCAATAACATCGAAAACTTAACATCGGGGTTTTGGTTGATAATATCGCAGATATGGAAAAACCCTCGCAGGTCGATTTTAGTTTCGAGGGGGACATTTTTTTCTCTTACATGCACTACCTTCACTGCAACACTCGAGCTGTGGGGTGAAAAACCCCTAAAATTTTAATAGGGAATAATGGTGCAGTGGCACAACTTTTGAAAGCCCGTTAAGTTCTCTATCCAACGGCGTCCTGATTTTGAAGTTGGGATGAACCGTTTGGGGAAAAATAAATTCAGGAATAAACCTGTACGATAGTTAAGAGCATACTTGTACGTCTCTGAAACACTCATTTGCAAGTTTTTGCAATCTAGCATTTATTTGCAACCATACTGTGAAAACTACATAAATTCCATCCTTACAAAATTGAATTAACACTAGAACTGAATGAAGATGATTTTGATCGGCGTTTACAATTCTGTGAAGTACTAAGTGAGCAGGCGATTGCAAATCCTCAATGTCTGTTCAACATTTGTTTCAGTGATGAATATTCCTTTTTTTTCCCATGATTTTGGCATAATTAATCGCCATAATTGTCGATATTGGGCTGATTCTAATCCCCATATGAGGTACATGAACAAAATCCCTGAAAATTAAACGTATGGGCTGGTATTTTTGGGGATCGTATCGTGGGTCCTTTCTTCTTAGAAGGCAATAGAAGGGGAAACGTATGTGGAACTGCTTGAAGAGACAATTTATCTAATGTTAACGAATATTATTGAAAATGACCATCATTATCTGGAAGATCAGTTGATATTTCAACAAGATGGTGCACCTCCGCATTATGATATGCCTGTTCGACGATATTTAGATCGACACTTCCCTGGTCATTGGATTGGTAGGCGAGGTTCTATAGAATGGCTCCCAAGATCACCAGACCTGTCTCCCTTAGATTTCTTTCTGTGGGTTCATATAAATAGCAGAATTTCTAGCAGATTTACGGCAACGAATCACAGAAGAATGTCGTCAAATCACCCCAGACATGCTCCAAAATGTTCTTTCGTTTTCAACTAAATCTGTATCATTACATGGAAGTTGGAGGTGCGCATTTCGAGCATTTGCTAAGATGGGAGTAATGTAAGTGAATTTTACTCTTAACTGATGACCGTTGTTTCGAGAATTCAACGGGCTTTCAAACGATGTGCCACTCTATTCCTATTCAAATTTCAAGGTTTGTTCACCCCCCCCCCCTGCTCAAGGGTAGACGTGACGGTGTCCCCCTCGAAATCAAAATCGACCTGTCCGAGCGTTTTTCCAGATCTACGATATTAGTATAAGACCTGTATAAAACCACAGAGAAACCGACTACTTGAATTTTTTCCCGGATTAGGCCCTCATCGTTACCGTTTCACTGAGCTATAAAATCAGCAATGCTCATTTTTTTAGGTACGTCTCGAAAGGAACACCACCCTCCCGCCCCAGAAGATACCGCCGTCCCCACAGCGGCGTCCAATCGCACGGATAGCGGCAACACTGCCGGCCAATCAGAGAACGCGTCGCCTAGATCGACGACAATCCATCAGAGCAACACGATAGATCTCGGCCAGAAGCAGGAGGCGGTCGATGATAGGGGTCAAAGGTCGATGTCTGCCCCGCCTGCAGACAAAGGTGAGTCACTGACATTAACTACCACAGTTTAATATTCTAAGAACCACACTGCACTCTTTTACAACTATTCAAACCGATTTTTTAAACTCCTCGACACTTGTTTCGCTAACTATGTGTGCTGCTTATACAGGGTGTCCGGAGATAAAACGGACAAGGTTTATGGGGTTATAGGGACTGTCAATATGATTGCAAAATGCCATAAACCAAGGTCCAAAACCGCTTCGTTATTGACATATAGAGTGATTTACGGATTTTGACAAAAAATTCAATCCGCCATATCAAATACAGGGATTAACCGATTAGATTCAAATTTGGTACACGGATTACACTGAAAAGCATCAACAAATAGCTCTCTGATAGAAACCAATATCAGGACCGGAATGATATTTTTTTTCCTATGTTGAGTTATTGTGAGAATAACTCACCCTGTATAATAATATCCAAAAATTCCAACTCCGATTCGAAATCTACTGTGAAAATTGTATAGGAATTTGTAAGAAAATCTCCTGGCACCATCGTAGTTATTCCGTAATTAATTATTATATTAATATTTTTCATTCAAAAATCAATTATTTTCGGATAAAGTACCATCAAAATTGGTGATATAATAAATTTTAACCAAAGGATGATATGAATATCGTTATTTTCTTCAATCAGTTCGTAAATCGTAGTAGAATAAAATACTCTCATAACCCGAAAAAACTGAAGAATAAATTCGTATCAGGACTGGAATGATGTTTTTTATGATTATATTTCTGTAAGAAAAGATGATCTGAAATAACAATAATGGAATTCACTGAGAAACGTAAAAAACTTGTTGAAAAATGATCGGACTGAACTTTCAAATAATGAATCCGAATGAGTAGCTTATAATGTTTGTGTAAAAAGAATACTAGGCTTGTGTCAAATACAGAATTTCATTATGGAAAACCATTGTTAAGCTGTCATAAGCATTTGTTTTATTGGTGTTCATTATTCCAGTGTTTTTAGGATCAAACTATAGTTCTGGGAGTGTGTTTATGATGCCGTTTAATTTCACTAATGAGGAATAAACAGATATTCTATTTGTGTATGGGCTTTACCTGGTGATGTTCACCTAAATTTCCTTGTCAATACTTGACCCGAATCTATTGCAAGGTGTAAATACCTTGGGTATGTGTTTTCAGCATGATGGTGCTAGACCTCAATTTTCCGTTCCAGTTAGAAACCATCTCGATGCCAATTACCCAAATAGATGGATTGGCCGTGGAGGTCCAGTAAATTAGCCACCGCGATCCTCTGATCTAACTGAGCTAGATTTTTTCTTATGAGGTCATTTGAAGTAAGAAGTTCATAATGAAGAAATTAGAATTATAGAAAATTCAACATAGAAAATTACTGCTGCCTGTGTTAGTATTAGGAATAACCCTCAAATAATTCGCAAGTCAGTGAATCATCTAAAATGTATTGATGCTGGAGGGCTCCACTTCGAAAATGTTTTGTAATACTGGGTAGTGAAAGTTATTGTTCATTGTGTAGTATTTTCATAAATTCAAATTCATTAGTGAGCGAATATAATTTACGAAAAATTCACTCTTATCCTTTGTCAACAGGATCTTATATACGATTTTTCAGATTCCGAATCGACGATCAGATTATTGATAATTATTGATAATTATTGATGTACCTACTAGGTCAGCTAATATAAACAAAAAAAAACTCATTCCAGTCCTGATACGAATTTATTCTTCAGTTTTTTCGGTTATGAGAGTATATTATTTTACTACGATTTACGAACTGATTGAAGAAAATAACGATATTCATATCATGATTTGGTTGATATTTATTATATTACCAATTTTGATAGAACTTTATTCGACAATAATTGATTTTTGAATGAAAAAAATGAAAATAATAATCAATTACGGAATAACTGAGATAGTGCCAGAAAATTCTTCAACAAATTCCTATACGATATTTACCGAAGATTTCGAATCTGAGTTCCAAATTTCGGTTTTCATTATACAAGGTGAGTTATTCTCACAACAACTCAACAGAGGGGAAAAATATGATTCCGGTCCTGATATTGGTTTCCATCACAGGGCTTCTTCTTAATGCCCCTTAGTGTAATCCGTGTACCAAATTTGAATCAAATCGGTTAATCCCTGTATTTGATATGGCGGATTGAATTTTTGGTCAAAATCCACAAATCACTCTGTATCTCAGTAGCGAAGCGGTTTTGGACATTCGTTTATGGCATTTTGCAATCCAATTGACAGTCCCTATAACCCCATGAGTTTTGTCGGTTTTATCTCCGGACACCCTGTATACTAAGTATATGTTCATCCAACAATACTAACCGTCAAGTTAATGTTTGTCATGGTTGAGTTCACATGTTAATCTTAATTTTTATAGTACTAAACTATATAGAGGGCTCCATGGAATAGGTCCATTATCTCTAAGCTTTCATATGCATCTAATTTCCTAATATTATTTTGTATGGGAGTACACTCCTGCAGCAACTAACGTATTTATTGCTCAGAAGCATATTCTAAGATGCCTAGTTGGTTGTCCAGCAACACATTCATGTAGGAACATATTTAAAGAAAATGAAATTCTAACAGTCACCGGCATATACATTCTTGAACTTATGACATTATGTCCATCAAAATAAAAATTTGTACCAGAAGAATAGTGACAAGCACATGTTCAGTTAACTCGAAAACTAAAAGGAAAAAATGTTGCAGAAGAAAATTTTTAATTTTCTTCTTGAATAAAATTGAATTCTGTTGGTAATATATTATAAAGATCGTAGTTCAAAGAATTCTTCTCGGAAACAGAAAGCCGGTATTTTGGTAACATAATTTGAGATTGTCTAGTCAACCTACTTGATTTTTCATGTATTTCTCTCAGAGAATGCTCGATATATATTGACGGAAGCGGTAGTATTCTGAATTTAACAAAGAGAGAGCGACAGTGTTCTCTGAAACCACAGTTTGCCAAAATTCTTAGAGCTTTTTTTTGTTGTCGAAAAATTTTGAGATTTTGGAGGAGTCGCCACAAATAACAACGCCATATGTTATATGCGCATGAAATAATGCAAAATAATTACTTTTCAGAGTTTCTGTATTGACGTAGGATTTGAGCTGACGTAGTAGGAACTAGGGTCCCTTGATGCAAATTGGCGTTAAAGTCATCTTAACAGGGTAGGGACAGATCATAGCTGCATTCTTTTTTGATGATTTAGAGACTTTAGTTTTGTCTACTGGCATCCCTGTCATTGCTGTCACGTCACATCAATGGGCGCTACAGAAAATCATTAAAAATTTGAATAATAGTTTTGTAATTATGATCCGATTCTATTCAAAATTGGAAGGTATTTGGGGTTTTCCGGGGTTGGAGATAATGATTGTTTCGTCAAACTTGGAAAATTCAAGATGACGGATTCAATATATAGCGAAAGAAATTTCTAATTATGATCTGATTCTATATAAGATTGGTATCTGAGGGTTTTCGGGGACGAACTTTATGATTTTTGTCAAAATTGGGAAATTCAAGATAGCGGATCCAATATGGCGAACGAATTTTGTAATTATGATCCGATTCTATTCAAAAATCAAAACTGGTATCTGAGGATTTTCGGAGATTATGATTATAATTATTTCGTCAAAATTGGGATTATCAAGATGGCGAATCCAGTATGGTGGACGAGTTTTGTAATGAAGATCCGATTCTATTCAAAATGGGTATCTGGGTGTTTTCGGGGTAGGAGATAATGATTGTTTCGTAAAAATTGGAAAATTCAAGATGATGGATCCAATATGGCGAAAGACATTAGTTTATATAATTATTTTCCTACCACAAATAGAAAATATGTAGGATGCAAGAGTGAAAAAAACGTGCCTTAAGTTATTCCTCGTATACATACTTCTTTGTTACATTCATCAATAAATTATTCGAAAATGGCTTGTTATTCACGGGAGACGGAAAAATCAGGTAAAGTATGTTCTCTTCTTCATTTTCATACACATTTTACCTATCACTTCTTATCAGCCTATTTTTCGTCCTAGACGAAGTTATATACATAGTGTGATATTAGAAACTCCATAAATTCTTGAGTTGGATTTCCGAAAATATAATTAGCACACATGACATGAGTACAGTAGTTTACATACCCACATCGAGGTTTCAACCATTTCTCAATTATAAGGCTCTGCTCATTCAGCTCATAGATAAACTACTGCTCAGCTTGAAATCAGAATTCATTCAGTCAATTCAGTCAACCCTGGTATACAGTCTAAGAACAGTCTCTTTTGGTGAAATATATCAAGCTTTCAGTACAATTTATATGTTCCCTACCTCGCAAAGATTATGCTGGAGTAGTAAACTCTGAAACTAGAGGATTGCTCATCTATATCTTGGTATAGTTGAATCAGGAATGCCATATGGAAATTACGTATGATACGCTAGTGACCTCAAAATAACCTAAAAAACAACGAATGTCAAAAATCTAGTGTCTATCCCCATAATTGAATAAGGATGGAACTATACAACTGTTTCACAAACACTTTAGAGTGAGAGGAGACGAGGATCTGTCCGTACCCTGTTAAGATGACTTTAACGTCAATTTCCATCAAGGGACCCTAGTAGGAACAAAGTGCTCGATAGTTTTTACTTCAGTTGCTCGATATGATGGTTCCAATTAAGTCTGTCATCAATTATCAAACCCAGCAGCTTAACACATTTGTTATCGAGTACAGAAGAGTTAATCGAAAAAGTTATACTTTGGGTTTTATTATCAGCTAAGGGTGCAGTCATGTAAGGTCCACTTTTTTTAAATGCAAATTCAAATTTGATTGGTGACGCCGCTGCATGCGAGCACAAATTGATAATTGTTCAGGACATGTTGAAAACCCATGAAAATCATTACTTGAAAGTTGCATACTGTAACATCCGCTTTTAGTAAATGTTATTTTTTCTACGAGATATTGTTAGTACCAAGTATTCAACTGACCTTTTCAGAGTAATTGATTCAACTCTGGTTTTCACTGAATGTATTTTGAGAACTGGCATTCCATTTTGTAGGATATTTTGAGCTTCTCTGTTACAGATTTCATGGAGCATGGCATTCATCGGAGATCATCCTGTATATTCTTTACATAATCTGGATTTAAATTTCATGTTATGTTTTGTTGACTTGAAGAAAGTACATTATTTCAGTTTATTTTGAAAATATTCAGGTGAAATGTCAAACAAGTTATTGAGGTTCAAAATTGTGATTTTAATTCTTCTTTTTCTTGTTCCATTGTCCCATGTAGCATTAACCAGTAGTTCAGTGTTCCGCCTTCAACGAGCAGAATCGCGACAGTAAGTAACAAATCAAGGTTGATTGACTTCTCTCCAGCCTCAACATAATATCTAAGTAGTAGGCTGTCAGCATCATCTTATTGATCTGCATTGATTGATTATTCATTTGAACCTGATATCGGTAATTACAACGGTTGAATCGATTCTTGCTATTTGGTTACTATGATTTTTCGACTTTTATGACATGGACATTTGAATTTCCAACTAGAAAAGAGAAAGAAAAATTGAAAATCGTTCCTTTTTGCATCTGGCCACCATGAAATGAACTCGTATGTGGATGTCTGCTAAATTACATTTTTGATCATCCACAATTTCTCGTGAATAACATCTAATTAGAGGTAAATATTCAATTATTAGGAATATTTTTGACTTATTGAAATTATTATTTTTATGGAATTTGGTCCATGTTCAAGGAAATTAGTTTGTGAACTTTCATCATCTTGAGGTACCGTTATTACAATATGTTTTCCATTTTTCTATTTTATAGTTCTGCCAGACTTTTGCTTGTACTTTTACTTGCTTTTGCTTTTACTTTTAGCTTTAGCTTCTACTTTTTAACTATTTTGCTGAATGCTTTTTATGGACTCGAAAGAGTAAGCATTTCTGATGATTTGGGGAAACAATCTTCATGGAGAGATTGTCCTGGCTATTAGAACCGATTAATTGTTCTTGTTAACACTGGAAAGTTATTGTTGTAAATTTCATGAAGATATAGATAATTTTCGACTTGATGTCAAAAATTCAACGTACTGGCTGGACTAAGCATACTTATAGGTCACCTGACGTCTCACCAGACTCGTATGCCCATGAAATCTGGAACCTGGAGCCCAAAATGATAATGAAATTGACCAGGATGTAATTTGGAAGCTGGAAATATCAATAAGCTCTGGTCTAACAACATTTTCTGGCTTATTCACAGTCTTGCTGACATACGGTATTCCCTGCATATTATAAAGTATTCACTGATCGTTGAAACATTTATTATCAAATCTTTTATAATCTAAAATCGAGTACACTTTGGAATCTAGTACAATTGAAAAGTCATTATCAAATATTCCTATATCTGTGAAGGTGTAATGCATTATATCTGGGGAATATTCCATTGATTAGATTTATTCAAAGCCCGTGATCATTGTGTCAAGTTTCAATGATAGGAGAACGTTAATTTAACACCCTGTGTAATATATGCATACCTAGTTGCATTTCAGTTGCATTCAATATTATTTGTGACACATATTATAAATGTTTGTGATGCAGATTTAATACTCTTTCGAATATCCTTCTTAGTCAGTAAATTAATCTGAATTTTATTTGTTTGATTTTTTTTCCTTCCCTTCAGCACAGACAATATCTTTCTACACTTTCTATTTTCTGTAGATGGCGTCCAAATAAAATCTTATCTGGTGGAACTATCTTCCTTATGCCAATTGTTATATTTTGACAAAGTTATATGATATGGTAAGTAAATGAACCACGACCCATTTGCCCCGACTTTATGAGCTAACCGTTCGCACAGTATAACCAGAAATTTCTGAATTTCTCACGTTTGAGGGTTATAATACATTAAAACAACGTTACAAAAACCTGTCCCTACCGGCCAGTCTATTATTACCGAAACACGTTTTTGTTTCGTTCCAAGGTCAAAGGTACACGTCGAGCATAAACATCCCCGTGAACCAGCCGCAGCCCCCCGTTTCGGCCGCCATGGCCGACCATCCTCAGACGGACGGGAGGCCCGTGGAGCGCATCATCCCCATCCGCATCGAAGGCAGAGACGAGCCCGTCATGCCCCGGAAGGTTTCTTCTTCTTCTTCGTCCGGTTCGGCGGGTTCTTCTGCTGGGTTTTCGCACTCGCCGAGAGGCGAAAGGATTTTCGGCCATAGGCCGGAGCAGTTCACGCAGGTGAGCACGATGGAGTGTTTTTCGAATTGATCGTTTTTTTGTGGAATGTTAAATTCGATAGATATACAGGGTGTTTTACCGCTAACGAAACCGATGTTTTTACACCTCGACATGTGTTTCGCTAACTATGTTAGCATCTTAAGGAGAAGATTAAAACAGGTTTATCTACTCACTGCATAGAAAGTTAGCGATTGCTCCCTCATTTCAGGACAAACCTGTCAATTTACTCCCACGGGAGGAAAAAAATATTAACTCCCGTGGGAGGAAAAATAAATTGACTTCAGCATGCATCCTTTGGCATCAATATACCTATATAAAATCTTTGCAATCCAAGTAATCAGTATCTGTATCACTTTCATAAAAGAAATAACAATAATATCCTTTTTGAATTCTAATGATATATGCTTCTTCATATTCCGAAAGTACTTCTTATCTCATCTTCATTCTTTCAAATGAAACACCCTGTATTTTTTTACGTTGACGGTTCCAGATCCAAATTACCCTCAATTTTTATTAAGTATGTTCTATACCTTGATATTGCCGTTTTCGATATAAAGCGATTCATACGAAAAAAATCTATATTTTTCGAAAACTGACAATGATAACCTCAATAAAGTATATGTGTTTGAAATCAGAAGAAAGAGTTTTTTCGATTAGAGAAATAAAATACAGGGTGTCCTAAATAAAAACATCAAATGACGAGCTATGCTCACTACACGTGCAAAGACGTTCCATTTTGCAAACTTGCTATCAGTATCGACGTATACATTATTTTCAACATTTTTAATTTCGATACGACTTCATTAAATTTCATGTGTTGAAGAATGGTATACCAAATTTCGAATAGTTTCGTATACCTATGAATAAGTCTACAACAAAGCGAATTATTCCATCCTGAATGAATACGAAATTTTAAAATATTTGTATTTACTCATAACAAAATTGCAAATACTTTCGCAACTTGTTGAATTAATATCCATCTAGATTCTCTATATAAATAGGTAAAAGAAGCGAATTACAAAATGTTTCCATCGTTATACTATGTGATGAATTCCTGCATATATATTATACAAAGACACTTACCATCTTGAAAAAATACAACTTTCACACACTTTAATGAAAATACAATCACTAAGCCGAATATTAATTCCAATTTTCCACTCTTAAATACTTCGACTTCTTTTTTAATTATCGCTTAAATCGACCGTTCGCGATGAAGTCTAGAACGAGACTACTGGTTGGTTTGATTTATCATTCAAATGACTAATTAGTTACGTCATCCTTTCAACCGATTAATTCCCGACCAAGTATTAGTAATTTCGATATCGATAGTAGGTATACGGGGTGGAGTTGAAAGAAATTTAAGGATATTTTCTTTAATTTTCTCATCTATACGAGGTGTTTTCAAGATGAGTTCATATATTTAGCAAATTAATGAAATATAGGCTAACGGATATTCCTGCCTTCACCAGCGGCTTCTACGATCAAAAATAGGAAGAAAAGTTTCACCCGGTATATATCCATCTTCTCGTGTTCATGAATATGTTTGAGAATATTCCTTTTTAAATAGTATTTAATTGAAACAAATGAACAATTGATTCTTCAGTTAACAGACAATATTATACTTCGCCTACTACGTTTTTATCTAGAACGACAATGCAAATATGCCCATGAACTTCATTATGAATTTACAATTAAAAAAAAATTGAAATTCCCGTTTGTTTTGCAGTTCCTCAACCGCGACAACTGGAGCGGTTTTCCGTCCGAAGAGCCTGTCAGAAAGCAGGCGGCTCCTGCGCAGGCGCAGAGAACACAAAGTCCCGCCAGGGACAATTTGCATAGGGACGATCGAACGGATCAGCCGAGAACTTCTGCAGGTAAGCGATTTTTTTTTCTACTTGTTGAATCAAAATCAACTCACAAAAAATCAAATTTGAATAGGAATTTGATTGGTTCTCTTCATACCAATATAATTTGTTTTCTGTGAAAATTCATCACATTAATGTTGAATATTATCATAGATTTTGATTGGAATATCAATTAGCTGATGATGGAACAGGTTGATATCTTCGTCTATATCTTCCCTCAGGTATAATAATGATAATGATAATGATAATAATAATGATAAAGTTTATTCAAAATGTTGACATAATATAAATTGAAAGTAAACATATTGGTATTGAATAAACAAAGAAAACCTTATGAAGTATAACTTGTTGTAAGGTATATAAAATAAAAATCATGGGTATTGAATCAATTGATCAATTAATTTGAGACATAAGTAATTTATAAAGAAAAATGTATTGTTTTTCATTCAATCATTGGATATAACTACGATTCAGTACTGTCCAGAGAAGCAAATAAATTCCTTGAAGAGACTAATATTCAGTTTTTATTTTAGTTTTGTAGCAATAAAAGGATTTGACTTCTTTATTATCACGTGTTGCTTTATTTTTGTGTTAATAAGTGTTATTGAGATATGTCGCTTTCACTTATTGTTTTTCAATTGTCTTTTTTAATTGGTTATGTATGAGTCTTCTATTGTGATATTCTCATTCTTATATAGGAATTTTTAATTATTACTATATCTAAAATTATGACTGCTATTTTACAAAAATAATCATTTCTTAAACAATAAAGCTACTAACTGACTGACTATACAAAGGTTGAAGATTGAATTCGTATAAACGAATTTTGTAATGTCACTTCTGGATATCTTTTTCAAAAAAATCAATGAATATCATTATCGTCTTGACCAATAAAAGCTGGAACACATTGTAGAAATTTTCACAAATAGCAACAATATTGATGAACACTTCTTATAGTGACACATCCTATCAGAAAATAATATAAAAATAATAGCCCATAGGGCATTATTTATCAGGCTAAAAGATATCAGGATTGAGACTTCAGCGGCCTCTAGCGCCAAAAGTCATCAGAACAATTTGATATTTGGAAATTTTGTTCAGAATGCCTTGGACTGTAACATTTTCCCTATTATACGTGTGGTGTCATTTACTAGAGTCACTGGATGGTATAAGTAGATAAGAGTTCGGACAGCTGAACGTCTGTCCTTTTCTATTTTCGAAATTACAATGCTTGAGTGAATAAAAGAATATGACATATATTCTGCTCTTTGTCTTTTCAATTTCCCTAATGGGTTGCGTGCAAGAACTGTCAGATGACCAACCCTGGAGATGAAACATTGAAAAACAACCTCACTTCTCATTTGTAGACAAATTATTAAAATAGTTTTTCACAATTATTTTGGCATACGAATCGTGTTTTTCGGCTATTTATCAATTCGCGCATGCCATCACATTGTGCTTTTGTACAATGCACAAAAATGCAACGGGAGACGAAGGAATCCGGTTGGTACATTATGATTTAAAAGTAAGTACCTACTATAGTCCCTCACATCTAGTTTTCATTTTTGAAATTTGGTTATTTCTCTGATTTCTCATCGGAATTCCTTCTGCAATAGGAGCTAATAGAAATATACCTGAAATTTCTAGAATAATGCAAGAAGATTGGATTCATGTATTCAAACGGGAGGTCTGGTCTGACATGCTGACGAAATACGATAGTGTGTGTTGTAGATATTTCCAATCTATTAGCAGTATTAGCTTATTATACCTATCAGATTCAGACTACAACCAACACTAAATACCTAGGAATCATAATTGATAATAATTTAAAATGGGCTCTTCAAATACAGAACTTGACCAAAATAATTGTTGTTTGAAAGAAATCATGTATTTTAGTCTGGTCCAATCACTTCGTAACTATGGCATAATCTTTGGAAATAATACAGAAAAAAATCATTAAAATAATATTCAACCTCAACCAAAAATTCTCATCGAACTTGCTATTCCAAAATTCGAGATTACTGAATATCAGAAAACTATTCTACAAAACTGCATTACTGTATTTAGTAAAAAAAATTGACCAATGAACTTAAAATTGGAAATGTACATGAAAAATTTCAAAAACAAATTAACATATTGGCTCCTGACATCAACTATTATAATACTATCATAGACCTATCATGGATTAAACACGCTTAAGCATGTGTAGGTGTGTTTATATGCTGATATGAGTATATCATGATATATGTGTATATGCGTATGTGTCTTCAGATGAGATTATAAATATATATAGCACTTAACATTATTTTTAATATTATTCATTATTCACAATTAACTTTATATTATTATATTTTATATACAATCTTCTTGCCTTGTATTAGTTATTTATTCACGTATGTATCGGTTACCACTATTTTTTCAATTTTTAGTTATAATTTTTTAAATAATGCTCTATTAGTAAATAACAATACCTCATTTTAATCATAGAATTCTATAAATATTTTATATTAGTTATCTATATCTCAAAATGACCAAGAAATGACAAAATTTCATGATGAAAACTGTGAGAGATTACTATTTACCTAAAAAATCACATTTCTTCGTCTCTTGCTCCTTTTTTAGTGTATTGTAGAACAGCACAATAAGAAGGCATGCTTTAATTAATGAATAACGAAAAAAAAACACGATTCGTATGCAAAAATATTGTGAAAAACTATTTCAATCCTTTGATTCCTATGTAAACAAAAAAAAAAGTGAGGTAGTGTTTCAATGTTTTACAGAAAAGTGAGGTTACGATTACAGATACGATTCTAGAGGTTACATTCACGTAGATGGAAAATAGAAATGGAACATGAAAATATGAAAAATGCATGTAACATCATTTTGATATGACAAAATAGATTCATTTGGATATAATTTTGACTAGTTCGGTCGGTATCGGAAACGCCATTCAATGATATACAGTGAGTTTAAGATAAGAATGTCTATCAAAGGATATATTTGATGATGATTTCTCCGAAACGAAACGTCGTACGGAAAATGTCGGTTTACCATATGTCTCTAATTAACGCCAGAAAAAAAATTTGAACGATTCCCATCTTCGACATCCTCATCTTGGACACTGTGTATATACAGGGTATGTCACGACGAGCTTACACTATCTCTATATTGAGAATCAGTCGGGAGCAATGCATGGAAATATGCATACTTATATTTTAGAATACGCTTTATTCATTTGAATATTTTCAGCAATGCAGTGTTGCCACTTCTATCAGGAAGTAGTAGCAGTATTGATATTTCAAATAGAATACCCTGTATTTCATTACATTTTTAGATTCTCCCTGAAAAGCTGATTTCATCGATACATCACACTTGGGGTCTATCGAAAATGATTACATTTTTTTTGTATCCAAACTATTCATTATCGGTCGAAAGGGCTCACGTGTCCTTATCTCAACTTTTGATTCACTATTTACTGATATTTAATCGGAACAGATACAGTGTGATCAAAATTCTGAATCTTGAACCACCCTGTATCTGGTCCGATTGAATATCACTAAATAGTGAATCAAAAGTTGAGATAGGGACATGTGAGCCGTTTTGACCGATAATGAATAGTTTCGACACAAAAGAAGTTGAAAAATCTCGATTTTACACACCCTATATCTCTGTAATGGTTTTGAATAGACCCTAAGTAAGATGTATCGATGAAAACAGCTCTTTAGGGAGAATCTAAAAATGCGATAAAATACAGGGTGTTCCATTTGAAATATCAATGTTGCTACTACTTTCTGGTATAAGCGGCAACACAGTATTGTCGAAGATATTTTGAATGAAGAGAGCGTATTCTGAGATATAGGCATGCACATTTTCATGAATTTCTCCCGACTGATTCTCGATATAAAGGTAGTGTAAGCTCGTCGTGATATACCCTGTATATCACGTTGCAATTTACTGGATTTCCTCAGTTTCGTTCTGAAATTTTCAATTTTATTACGTAGTTTTGCAATCAATTCCTTTTTCCCCATGATAATTTTGTTTTGTAAATTGATGGAACAATAGATTCTCTCTAAGAAATCTTAAAATCTTTTGTTCAAAAATTGGCCCGAAATATAGTTTCATTCCAATCTGCCGTTATAAAAAGTGGATTTTGATGTAAATTCTCAACCTTCTTTTGCCATTCAAAACCGTTTCTAAGAATATTTTTTCACGAATTTCTTGAATCTGTTTCACTTCTTCTTCATATCAACAAAATACAGGGTGGCTCAGATTGGAACAAATAGCAGAAATACCAGCAGAAGAACTGAGAAGAGTTGAAAATAACTAAAATGAATCCAGGATACAAAACTCTCAACTTGTTAGGAGTGTTGCTGTTTTTTTTTTTTCAAATTGTTTTCTTATTTTCTCATTTCTTGATTGAAAATTAAAATTTCTGGTTATTTTATTTGTTATTTATCTCACTCTGTGGACAGATAATCTAATCCTGACTACCCCCCCCCCCCCCCATTATTATACACGGTGACTTGAAAGATGCAATTATCTAGAAATTGTAACGTTGATTGAAATCACCTCTCGAAACATTCTTTATGAGATATTGTTTTGAAAATTGATATAGGAGTACTTGTGACTAGATGGAATCGATTGCCATTATCGAAATTTTTGTAGATAAAATGCCTAAACCGTTTTCTCTGTTTTTGCTGAAGTTTTTGTGATCGCAGTAGGCCAAGAAATTGTGTTTGATACTTTTTTTTTTGCTGGACTTAGTAGATAATTTTGAGTAGTATATTATGAGTAGAAAAATTCAAATTGACCTAGGAATACGAAAGTACAGGGAGTGGGGGGGGGGGTAGACCAAATTGTAACATACTGTAAAGAGTAAGGATAGATTTTGAAACATGTATCATTCTGTTTAGTTGAGATTATTTTATCGTTATATGAATGAACCTTAGCAAAATACTCATCACATGATCAATACCTCCATATCCGTGATCAAACAATCAAAATCACTC